AATTTACTGAATAAAATTACTCATTTTCCCAAAGGATGCCTTTCCTTGAAACACCTGCTATAATCATATTCCTGATCGCAACCGTCAAAAGCAACGAGCACGTGGCGCAATGGTAGAGTGTTGTGTTTCATAACCAAAGCTACGGGTTCGCATCTCGGGGGTCGCCACCCCCGCGGATTGGGTATGACTGGCTGATGACGTCTAATAAGCCAGAAAGGGTCATTCCGGCCTCTCTAGCCTTTATCGGTTCCATACTATAATGTACTACAAATCGCTATACGACTGCTTCGAGCATTCGGCTCGAGAGAGTTGGCTAATTGATATATCATTACAGCACCTATCCATAATGAAGAAACGGCAAACCGAGAGCTTACGGAGAGACCACACAAGGCGACATCCTATTGGGCACGGACCCAAAATTGCCTAGGCACAATCGGAAACACGCAAACTGTGGCGCATGACAAAAGTGGGGAGAAAATAAAGCATAACCGAACAAGTGAATAGACGATAATACTAACAACTCACATCAACGACAACATTCGGAAGACGCAGGTCAGGAAAGGGAACCTCGTAGAAGAGGAAGGCTAGATACCTGAAAGAAGTTAATAGGGGAAGGGGGCGTCAGGATGACAGAGGAGGAGACGGAATCAGCCAAAAGCATGATAAGGAATGTCTCGACATTCCCTGCACACTAATAGCACATTTACAGTTTCTAAGGTAATGCATAGTTTACAATGTACGTTACAGGAAATTTTACTTTGACCTTTAGGATAGCTTCTACCCTACTTGGTATCGAATGAATGAGATTCTGGGGGGTCTCCACGGGAACCTTTCTCCAGACATTCAGCAAGTATCCCTTCAATCCAGCAACAGTAGTAGGAGCAGGCAGTTTCTCGTCAACCAAGAACTGACCATAGAATTTCAATTGGATTCAAGCCAGGACTATTCGCTGGCCACATTTCTTTCCTCTGACAGCAACCTATGGGTCTCCAGAGCTGTATTAGATGTGGCTCCTTCGAGCACGAAACTAATTCCTTGATATATCCGGAACACGTTTATCCTAAAATGTCTACCTGCTAACGCAGGTTTTGCTTTAGGATCTCTATTGTATTCTCCATTCACTTGCTGACCCTATGGCACAATAGGGAGGCCACAGAGCCCCCCAGGGGACATCACTCCGCACACCATGGCTGTAGGGCCCAAGCTTGGGACTTCAACATTTCCAACCATGTTACCACGTGGGGCCAAAATAACGCCATGCTTTGTGTTTGGCGGATGGAACAGTCTACAGTCCACCTCCTGATCATGGACCAGACATTAACCTTATTTTGATTTGTTTCCTTCTGACATAGGCGGTAACACCCCAAACTTTCGTTAGTATGTCCGTACTGCTGTACTGTACAAAATAAGCAAACAAAGTTTGACTATAAATAAATGACCAACCGGTTGATGAATACGTCCCACAGGTTTTCATGAACATGAACTAACCTGAACTGCCACGTTGTGACAACTACCTCTGGCCTCCTCCACCACCTCACTACGCGCCCACATCCAATCTTTACCAATCAAGTTTCACCCTTCCAGGTCGATACTTAATTGGACAGTTACGTTATCCTATTAATAGGCACCGACCGCTTGCGGCTGAAAAAGAGGGCCCGAAATTAGATGACATAAATAAATCCTGCTAAGCTTGTGGTCATTGCCTAGTTCATAAAGTTATTGCTGAATATTTAATTTTAAAGAAATTATCTAACTTTTAAAAGGTGCAAATAATTATGGGACACCCTATCAGTTTGCAGAACCCACCGTTCAAGCGGAATACTATTCTTCTCCTCGTTGCCATCACCCAGACAACGCTGGTGCAGGAAGGAGAGGAAGGGCTTGAAGGAGGAGCCAAAGTAATACCGGGAGAGGATGCAGATGGTCTTGGAGGTGGCCACCACCTTCTCACCGATGCGACTCCGCCGGAAGACACCCAGACGTCGTTCCAGATCACGCAACTCCTCGGGCGTGAAGAGTTCGGCGTCTGCGGCGGCAGCGTCGGCCACCCTATCGCTGGCGG